GCATTTGTACCGAATGACTGCACGTCCTTCACTTCTTGTATTGAACACACTGCTATAGTATACATTATAATATTACATAATATTATATATTCATCATAGGAGCTATAATTTAGTTACAATATATACATAGGAATAATGTATACTATAGGATGTATACCCACAATTTAAATTGTCCAGCGAGAGAGAACACGAAAATTGGCTGTTCTGCACATCCCCATACCCCACAAGCTTTTTGATCCAACGAGTACAATTGTGTTAGTATTTATAGAGAAAAAACCAAAAAATTGACAATTTCAATAAATAACTCAAAATGAATCAAAATATTTTGAACATTTTATCACGTTTACTGTTTAGTATAGACATTTAATAGAAATTTCAAGTACCTACAATTAATAGCTTTTGATTTTGAATAATTACAAAATAAGATAAAAGTCGTATAAGAATTTGTTAATTTTTACTGGTGAATATCCCCTGTCCAACTTCAAAAAAACACATCACTTTTAAATTCAATACATTCATCGCTCAGCTCAGCAACTAAATTACTAATAAATAGAATGTGTGCGGTTAATATTATTTTTAAAGCAAACAATGTTTTAATGTATTACTGCATTATTTTAAATGCACAAATCATGGTTTTTAAAAATACCATTTTATGCAAAACTCTTTGTATTTTTTAATAAAACATCATAGAACCAAATAAAATAAAAAAACAAAGTTATATTTCTAATTCATATAAACAAATAGGTAATAATGATAATTGATAGTCAACTTAACATGATGTTCGAAGTGGGGCAAAAATCAAAAATCGTTGTATATACACCCCATTTTTACCTAGGTATAGACACTATAATTAATTTTGAGAAATTTGGTTGCAAATAATTATATCGTATTATTGTATATCATAATTCATACTTCATAGGTGTATTACGAAACGATAGCTTCAATATATTAGCTTTGTACGTTGGTTGTCGAACGTATTATTATTATTATTGTCTGTAATCAAACGCTGTTAATTAATACTCTTAGATTGCACCGGTATACATACAAGTAAATTTCAAATTTACTTATGCAGCATCATTGGTGCAGTATTGGTATTAAGTACGAGTACCTGTATATTATAACTCAATCATTAAGATTAAGATATCGTATATTTACTTAAAAGTTAATAACAATAATACATACAATTATATAGATAGAAATATAGACTATTATAATGATTTTCAATATAAATAAATGCAATGTTTTCGCAAAATTTAAATCAATATTCCATAATACTAATAGTAAAATAAGGTACTTTAAAAGCAATAGGTATCAAAATACCGGTGCAACACGATTGCGTAATTTTTCCTTTTTTGACTCAACTAATTATACCACGATTGCGAAAAACATTTGCAACACGATTGCGCCCTGATCACTTTTTACCAGTTAAAATCACAACACGATTGCGCACCAAATTATATATGTGTATATATACTATGTATATAAATTAAAAATATAAACTACGCAAGGAGCAACAAAACAACATTACATTTATAATGGATATTTGGGTAAAATTTAAAAATAATAAAATATCGATGAATGATTATTTGCAAGCAATGGGGCCACGTTTTTGTGCCAGTTACCAAATGTAATTTTTAAAAACAATTAGATATTAGAAAATATATGATGTAATGAAAATTAAATTATGAAAATAGGAATATTACTTTTTATGAATTTATATGAACAAAAAAAAATATCGAATATTGACTATGTCAGTATATACATTTAGCATACATGTAATTTAGAAAAAAAAATGTTTAACCGAGCCAACGATGATAATTTGTTGACAGTCCTAGGCTTGTAATAATTGGGAAGACAAATTGTAAATTAATGGATCATAATTAATAAGTACCTATATATGTGTATATTATTTTATGTTGTACATAAATTATTATACATAGTATATATATGCATTATACACTTATCATTTGGTGCACAATCGTGTTGTGATTTTAACAGGTAAAAAGGGATCGAAGCGCAATCACGTCGCAAATTTTTTGCGCAATCATTATATAATTAGTCGGATCAAAAAAGGAAAAATTGAGCAATCTTGTTGTAGCCTCAAAATACATATGACGTAGGCTAACGGGTCAACTCTACTCAAAATTGTTTTTCGCAAAGGTAAAATGATATATTTACCATCGAAATCAAATTTAACATATTCATATTACGGGGAATAGTAAGTTATTACACGAGAGTTGAAGGGAAAAAATTACATACGTTAATTTCTATAAATGATATTTGTTTTATGTTCTGATGCATATTATGTATAAATTAAGTGTATTAGTTAATACACAGAGCTACACCAAACATACATGCACTAATTTTTTATCACCAACTTCTGTCCTCCACATATTTTTAAAATGATTGAAATTCTTAAATATTTTCAAGTAAATACATACATAAAAAAAACTACAAATAGTAATTCAAAAATAAAAATCAGTAAACAAAACTGCCAAAAAATGTTATAAATCACACAATTTTAGATTTCACAACAAACAAAATTAATCAATATGATCATGTTAAATATTTAGGTTTCTAAAATAATCCACATAAAATATAGTACATTTTTTTGTACAATAACATTTTCCCTTTTCTTGTTTGGAGCATCAAGGTTCTATCAATTTAGTTGAAATATTTCTTTACTGTCAAGTTAAACCATACCCATATGTAGATAAGTATATATTATGTAGGTACCCATTACCCACTATGGTTGACTGACGTTTGGTTCAACGAATTAAGTCCAATTGAAATTTCGTCCAATAGTAATAATTTTCGTCAATATGCTTTTATATCCCAGGTGTGTTAAGGACTTATTGCGTCTATTAGAGCTAGAATAATATATATACCAATTATATGGTGGGTATAATAAAGTTCAACGGCGTGTTCTATAGAGCTGCATGTCCAAATATTTTTGTATTCATCCAAGTGTACGAAAATATACAATAAGATACCGATACAATTATACAAAACAAAAAATAATCTCAGAATATATTTGACAGACAAAAAAAGAATTAATTACAAATACTTTAACACAATTAGAAGAAAACCAAATTAACAAATGTTGTTAATATTTTCCATTACACGTGTTTGTAAAACACGTGTAATGAAAAATACTTGGACCGTCGGTGACTAATCTGGGCAACCTATATCCATACTAAATACTTTACATTAAACTACCGTTCCCATCAATTACGCCTTCTCCTCCCATTTTAACACGTTAATCTCAAAAATAAACATATCCTAAATAAACTTCTCCTCGAACTGATACGGACTTATGATATTTAGTTATGGGGAGCAACCAAATATACCACCATAAATTAAATCCAAAAATTTCAATTCAAATGTTTTGGTCAAATAAACAAAGCTCCGTAGTATGTCTCAAATGATACTCTCCGTAAAGATTTGTCTATGATTTTACATTAAATATAGATAATTTATTTTAATTCATTTTATATAAATTTGAGACGTAATACATTTGATTTATCGTAAAATGTAATTTACAGATTATACAATTATTAATTAGAAAAATTCTATAGGTTTGTAAAATTAATAAAACGTTGATAAATTATTGCTACGTGATCTCTAAATCCTTATGATTTTCTTAAAAAAATGGTTTCTGGATATTAAACTTAAGTAAATTTAAAACTTCCAAATTAATGCATAATACCTTTAGGCTTTAAGCATTAAAAATGGGTTTATCGGGCTTAATAAATCACGTGTAGCGCTGTACAAGTATAATACATACCTAATATAATAGGAACTAGATAGGTATATATACAATATATTGTGTATTAATAGGTCACTGTGGGTGTGACTTTTTATATGGGTGTTTTGTGTTTACACATTTTTAAAATAATATTGTTATCTAAACGGACAACTTTTTATTCATTACTCGTTATTTTGCGCCGATATAAACTGAAAATCGGTCTTAGCAAGAGTCAATAATTGGTTGATCTGTGGAGGGACTTGACATTTTTACCTTTAAAAGTGTACTATTGAGAGACTAAACCCTTGCGCGGCTTTCGGGAGGCTTATAACGTTTTGGAGGGGTTAAGGCTTCCCTATGCCCCCCCCCCATATCACACTTGGTGAGCAGTGTTCCGATATAGGGCTTCTGTGATCATATATTTTCCTTGATAATAAAATGTGATTCATTTTATTTGTTGAATTGGTTTTTCCTATATTCAATTGGCATTTTTAAGAGTTAGGAGGGATGAAATTAACACTGGGCAGGGAAAATTATGGGTATTGTGATTTTTCCAAGCACGTGGCATATGCGGATTAATATTATACAATGAAAACGTATCATAATATTTACGGCGTTTGCAGTGAACAATACACACATGCAAAACGTGCAGCGCGGTCGGTCGTGAAAAAAATATCGTAACAATACAAATCAAATAAGCGTGTACAAGTGTTATTGTGCGTTATATAAATTGATATCATCATTACCTAGTTACATAAATATATAGACATATATATAATAATAATACACTCGTGCAGCGAGCGTTATCGTTTATAATATTATTACTGTCGCGCGTGTATAGATATATTATACTCGCGGATGGGTAATCTGGCGGAAGCGGTGTGCGTCGGTACACCGTCGGTGTGGTGGGGAGGAGCTTCGGTGCCTATCTCCGTGCACACAATAATAATATTATATTATAGCATTATCTGCAGTGCTAAACCGCGGAAAACACACCTCGCACAGTTTCCACCGACCCGCAACGAGTCGTTCTCGTCGCTACAGCAGCAACCGCCGGCGTCCACAAAACGCAATAATATACACAATATTATAATATAGTATATGGGTACGTCGTATTACGATACATACGCTGTATACCTATACATCGCGCCATTCTCATCTCGACGCGAAACGACAAGCGCGAACTTACAGTACCGCCGCCACCGCCGCCGCTGCCACCGCCGCCGCAGCCGCAGCCGCAATCCGCACACAATACAAATTCGCGCGTTCCCGTCGGCGGTCGTCGCGCGCCACATATATGAAGTTTTCCAAGACTGTGGGCAACAGCTGGCACAATGTGCTCGACCAACTCCAGCCAGGAGTACCTGGTGGCCCCATCAAAGGACGGCATGGACGAGACGAGCTACATACTCCAGCAGAGGCGGCGTCGCCAACAGGTTATGATCAGTTATTACGTAATACGTGTAAAATGCGTACGATTATATTATTATAATAATAGTTATATTGTTACTCTCAATAGTCGCATATAATATATCAATGATTCCGTGTACTATAATTCTTGCACACCCGATCGCTTTTACTGCCCCGTAGTTATGTATAGGCGAATCGTGTGTATATTGATAAATCGTCCACTCCATCCCCATACCAAGCTTATGTATATCAAATAAGAAAATAAAAAGATGTTCGAATAATTTTATTTTGTCGTAAACTTTCGGCATGCTGCGACCATGCATTGAAGGATTGTACCATCACGTGATTGACTGACTCATTAATTACCTGCGGCTGTCCACTGAATAATTGATAAAATATTTTCCAATATACGCAAAGAACAATAGGTATAGGAATAAAAAACTACTGAGCTCGTTATTTTAAAATCCCACCTGTCCTGTTACTGGAGTAACTAATTGCATGACTAATGTCAAAAACAAAATTGTCCCCCAACCTAGTTAATAATCTGAACGAATAATGGCCTACAGAAAATATATTTGGTAGCAACGACAGAATATTACATCAACATTATTATGTACCCTGCAACTGTGCCCTGTGGTGTGAATATTAGTCAAGTATCAATTTTAAGTTTAAATAATTTTCGATTGGTTTTCATTTCTAAAAAAACTTGTTTGGTTTTTGACGTTTTACTGCGTCTTTTCAGGTGTTGGTAAGGGACGGCTTACGGGTTTTTTTTTCATTAGAGGAACCTTCCTCAACATAGGTCATTGGTGCAGGATGGTACGGCAATGATTTCTTTGTATATTTTCAGAAGGTCTTTGTGTTGGCAGGGTTATACACGAGTTTGTGTATGTGTGGTTAGGATAAATCCCGGGTGGTCACCCATCCGAGATATAACAACTCCGGCTGGTGCATACACTCAGGGCGCTTATGACACTGAGTGTGGATACCGCGACACACTGCACAACATATACGGTATTATGTCGTTTTACTCGTCTACATTTCTAATTTTTTCCATATTTTACATCGAATCACAATGCGTTTTGAATAAAATTAGTTTAATTGCGGAATGGGCATATTTTAATTTTATACATACGTAAATTACGGCCCAAGTATATTTTGAGTGTATAAAAATTGCACCCTACATATTATTTATACATATGAAAATGATTACGTTTTGAACGACATTTGAAAAATTAAAATTTTCTTTCTATTTTTCAGAGATAGGACTAGGAATACATTATTGTATTAATATTGGTTTTGATTTTCTTGTTTATGCTTAAAAAATATTTTACTAAAAATAAACCTTAACGAATAATACGTTTTTATCGCTTATACTGTTTTATAACTACCATTTAGAGTACTTGAGTGACGATAGTATCAATATAATTCAATATGATGCATAAAGTATATCAGTAACATGAATATTTTAGGTTTAAGAAATTAATACCACGCCAGGTATTCATTATAATATAATGTGTATATTATAAATGTACATATACCCAATGACTAACACCTACTATATATAAGCATTACATTTTTAATAGGTACTGATTAATTGATGTACAACTATATTTTATTTTATTTCTGTGTTGCTTAACATATTGTGCTTTTTTTCAAATTAATCAGAATCAAAATAAACAAAAAAAAATATTATAAATTCATTAGTTAAATTGATTATAGTATTTTAGATTTTTCATGGTATAGGTACCTATAATATATTCATTATTTAAGTTAAAAATTCTATAATGAAGATAAATTTAAATTTATGTTATTAGGCGTGTTCATCGTAATTATCCGAAAATTCACTAATAAAGTATCAAAAGGATTTTAAATACGTGTATATTACATAAACATAATGTAACTTCCTCAAGTTCTTCATAATGAAATTTTAAAGTTATTTTTTTTATATATGTACATAATATTATATGTTATTATATTTTATACAAATATGTCATAGTATCAGACATAGTATTATGTAAATTTAACTTTCTTATTTTAGAAACGTTCAAAAAATATTTTTAGGAGAAATAAGTTTAAACTTAAATTTAATATAATATCGGGTTGGTTTAGGAAAAAAAATGTTTAGATATCACTTTATTCGTGTTTACTTAATAGTTAATATAGTGAATACTTAATACTATAATTCATTTTATAGTTGATGTATAATATTGTGTATTTCGTTATTTTCATTTTCATATATAAATCTTGTACCATAAATCATAATATAGTCTATACAAATTTAATGTTCAACACCACATACATTATTTTCACATATTGGTTAGGTATGTCACCATGTCGGACCACAGTTTTAGAACAATAATATAATATACCCTGGCACATAAATTAATATAATATGTCCTATAAGCCTTAATTAAAATATAATATTATACTACAATTATTATTGTTGTAAACAAATTTTTATTGGCTTATGATATTATTTTATGAATTATTAACAAAATTCGGACATATGTAAATAAAAATTATTATATTTGTTAGTTAATTTTATATAAAAGAAAAAACTATCATATACCGATACTTATAAAAATGTCTAGCTAAACTCCGTCAACCGAGAGCAGTTTATATCGATATCTAGATAAAATACATGTTGCAACTTAGTTCATTTCAAATGACAATTGTATTTATTGATTTCGATAATTTGATTTTTTATACTTATACTAACATTTAATGAATTTGTAAAAAACAAAATTATTAAACTTTTATGAAAATTGTCAATACAAATGATAAATGATTAAAAAATAAAAACATAGTTAAAATACTTAATTACCAAAATAAAATTTTATACTTTTTAGACTTATATAATCATTTTTTTTTTTATATATATAAAGTTGTTTAGACTAAATTACAATATAATTTGTATGACTTGGAGGCATGGTCGTACCCTCAATCTGCCGCAACGCTCTGAGACGGTATAGCACTCGGATGGGTGACCACCCGGGTTTAGCAACATATCCATGTAACACATACAAACATTACAAACGTATTCCAACCAACTATTCCCCACACACTGTACCTGGCTAATGACCTTAGTAGTTGAAGCCTTAATATAAACAAAAAAATTTATAATTTGTTATAGGCATACTGTATGAAAAGACTTGGTTTTAGTAAAATTAAATATTTTTGATAATGATTTGTAGGTATGGTATACATTAATAGATATTGGCTTTGGCATACATTCAAAAACAAAATATTTTTTTTGTATAAGTTACATATTACTATATTAGTATATTATTTATTATTAAATGTAAATGGAAATGACAATTCTTGGTAAATCATCCTATACATGACAAATAATTTTAGTTAAAACAAATGCAATTGAAAAAATTACTATTTCCTACTTTAAAAAAACATCGTTATGGAGAATAATTTTTAGATATTTCAGTTTTTAATAATAATTGTAAAGAATTAATTGTTAATTTCATAAAATAATTCAGAACTTCATAAAAGTAGATATTTTATTTATTCTAATACGAATTTCATAGGCACATGTATAATTTTAATTATTGAAATAAAATTGATAAAATAGTAAAATAATAATATAACTTTTCAGAGCAATTTTACAAAATATTTTCTTACATGATTTAGATTATAGATATTGATTATTGAATTAAATAAAGCATTGGAGTACTTTATTACTTTTATTCTTTATTTTTAATCGTCTATGTACCATTTAAAACTTACACTACACAGTATTGGGTATACATATTAAGTATTATAATACGATATTGTGCTAAATAATAATAATGTTAAGTATAGGTAGTTACTATTTAAATAAATGCGTTGTTCGAAAATGAAAAAAAAAACTGTTTATTAAAATCGTTTTTAGAAATTGATCCATTTTAAATTTAAATCCACGGCGAACCATGCTGGTTTATGTAAACATCATTAAATGCATACCTACCTATCTGAAGTATTTACAAAACCATTGACTTCATCTCGTGGTATTGATTTATTTACTTTTATATAGTTTTATATCCATGAGTACGATATTCAAATGTATCTCTGTGTATTAGACAGTATTCGAACCTTATTTCATTTAACTGTTCTCCTTCACTGCTACTTCCTATCATTCATATTTAAAATAAAATTGTAACAAGTATTTGGAAAATTACTTTCGTCTTCGACAACTCTCGACAGCTGACTGACCAGAATTTTGATCCGATCTGATATAGCTAGTGTGTGGACATGTTTCCGATTCGATGTGTTCCGTTCCAACGTAGTGTACGGCAAACTTAATATTAAAAATCATTTTTTTTTTATTTAATACAATTTGGTTGATGATGTTAAAAATATAATATTATGTGAAATTTTATAGGTACTAGTTAAATAATTATAGACGATCATTTATTTGATTAATTTTCTACATTACCTAAGTATTTTGTGACAATATTGATCTAGACCTGCTACTCTATTAATCAATGTGTTTACTCTTTTGTTTTCGGAACCTATCATTTTTGTTCGAACAAACATTGTTATCATTTATTATATTCAATATTGTATGTAACTATTTAAAAATTTGGAGCAGACTTATTCGATAAATATTGTTTTATTCCAAAATTAATGTAGAACATGTTAAGAAGTTGGTTAATTTTTAATTTATATTCATATTCATATTCAATTAAATGTTTTATTAAGTCACTGGATTTGAAGTACTATTGTTGGATAAATTATAGAATAATAGTTGAAAATTATATTGACTATTCTATAAATTAATTAGATATAAATTTTAAACATGTAATCGTTTTCGAAGTGGCACATTGCAAAAATATAATTCAAATATAATGTAGACAGAATAATGAATCTCTGAATGTAGATGCATTTTGTTTAAAGATTCATAGTTAGAACTTAAAAATATAATTTTACTTTCCTCATAGATTAAAAATGGATTTTATAAATAAAATGTTTGAATCTATGTATACTCGCATTCGCCAAATAACTTCATAAAATTATAATTGAAATAGTTTGATGACACACATAGAAAAATTGATTACTGCAATCTGGACCTTGAATAATGGTTACCGGTTACTTTTACTCGTTCATACTTAATAACTAATTGTTATTAATACAATATGCATAATATATAAATTACGAAATAAATATAAAAAGCAATAATATGTTGTGTACGAAACAAAATAAAATATTACAATTATGAAATAGTTCGGTTTAATATTTAATTATGATTTGAGAAAGTATGGACTTTGGAGTAAGGATTATCAATAATGTAAATGATAACTAGCACAGATATTCGTATTTATAGCATTATAGGATAATAATTTAATATACAACTATTATGCTACAGCAGTTGCATATAATATTATGTTATTTTGTTAAACATGAAAGAAATTATAATTATTATTTATGAGTTGGATGAATGTACAATTAAACAATTATTTTTAACTAAATAATAGATAGGTACAACAGTTTGGGTTGTCATTGAAAATTTAATTTACGGGAACTATTTTTTAATGCATATATTTTGTATTGAAGTAATTTGTTCACATTTAATAATACATAATTACAAAAACAAATAAGAATGTAAAATAAATTTGAAATTGCATTATGTACGTTATGATACTTATTGTACAATGCTCGTCGCAAGTATAATGTAATTTTTAACTCAGCAGCTTATGTATTAAGCAAATCACATAAATATTTAAATATTAGTTTAACGGATTAAAATATAATGCATAAGTTTAGATTATTGAAGACATAAAAATTGCATGGTAGGTAGTAATAATTAATAACTATCGATAATAATTTGAATCTGCAATATATGTTTCTGTAAAACCTTTTACCTCGACAGGTATGCATTTAATTAACTAATATTTTACATACCAACTTTTGACTGTATTTGTTATAGGTGATGGATGGAGGCGACAACCTCAAAAACTGTCCAAAGTTTGCGAGTTTCAATTACATCAACTCAATTATTGGTAGTGGCGTTATTGGTAAGTTGCATAGTTAAATACAAATTGGCTTATTATTTATAATAGGTATTTAAATATACTCGTACTAATAAAGTAAATACAGTATACAGATATCTCTGGTATGGTTGAAAAAAAAAAATGTAGATTAAAAAAATCATTCTTTGGTGAGGGCAATGAATTGATAGGTATTTACTATTCATTAAATTTAGGTTTTAGGTATAATATATTTATTTTAGATACAAATACATTACTTATCAGACACCAGTTATTTTTTCTACACAATTTTTGTTTTCCTGAGTCGAATATTTAGTCTATTTTTAGCAATAATATATTAAGCAATGCACATTAATGTAATATCATTAAAAATACTTGTACTTTTTAATTTTATATTCAGAAAGCAATTATATGAAGTTGTATTGAATTAATTTCCATTCATAAATCGTAAATATATACCTATTGTATACATCCATCACAAAAATGTATCCGTAATTATTATATTTATGACAAAAATCGAGATCTCAATAACAACACTATACAATTCACCAATTTAGTAATACCTACCTATTAATATTAAATATAATATTGAAATGTGTAATGCTCGTGTTACAGCCAATTTACATTAACCAATTTAATTAATCATATGAAGGTATTGAATAATTAATAACTATTTAGTATTTGTATAACTTAACTAAGAAAATTAAAATTTTATCACATGCCATAATTTTTTTTACAATCTGTAATGGATTTAAGTCTCTATACCTAACCCAACGTTTTCAAACAACTGTAGTACAAACATGATGTAATTAATCACGATTGTAATAATGCTTATAAATACTTAAACAAATATGTCAACATTTCAAATCTATATGACATCTAAATACGAACAGCTTATGATGATTTACGACATGACTTCACAAACTTATATATTAAATAATAGTAAACCATTCACCATCTAAAATTTAATTTTAAAAAAATCAAAAAATTGTTCACACTGCAAATAAGTAATTTATTCTCGCATAAAATGAATAAAGTAATATTAGAATATTTTAAATGCCAGTTACGAAGATAGCATATTATTTTATAATGACAAAGTTATATTGTTTATATTCGGCAACAAATATAATCCTAGAAATTTTATTTTATTCAATTATATTATATGTATAATTGATGGTGGTACACCATATACTAAATAAAACGCTATTGAAAATAAGTTTTTTATAAAATGTTAAGTTAACATCAATATTTTTCTAAAAATGTATTTTTATAATTTTGTATTGTTATCATTTTTTGTTTATTTTTAAATTCTTAGTGACAACATGTAATTGCAATTCTTTACCACGAAGGAGAACATATTTGGAGTACTTCGATAAAAGTCGAATTTTGGATCAGTTGTTTATGATCTATAAGTAATTAAAGTTAAGATGAGTTGAATGGAGTGATATGAGGGTACCTACCTCTCAACCCTAACTCAATCCACTTCACCGCTCGTTTATACTTCCATTATTTTAATTACTATTAAACTACTTATTCAAAAATGAATTTTATGGATCAAAATACTCCGAATAATATTCTACTGTAGCATATGAAATTAAAAATGTATGTAGTCACCAAAAAAAAATTATAAAATATATTGTTTTGTAAAGACTTAAAATTAATAAAAAAACATTTTCAAAAACGTTATTGTTTTCTGAAATAATGAGTGTATTACATTAAATGGACTACCCCGTACTAAAAATAGCTATTCAATTTCAAACTAATTAGAGTTTTTTCAGGTAATCTATTACAATTTTAAAATTTGTATCTATTATTATATAATTTGTGTTAGGTACTTACTTAATGTATAAGATTTACAAATTGAATTCTAAAAAATTGTAAGAAGTCTTAAATATATTTTTAAATGCCTGAAATATTGTACATTTTTATTATGGATTTTTAGTAGTCGTTTGTTAGGAATGGGTTTTACTTATGCATAACGTTTATAAGACCTAAAATGTTTTTACAATGCTAAAAATGTACATTACATATGTGATAGTATTCACATGCATCATAGTTATAAATTCAATATATTTAGTTTATTATAATAATATGAGCTAATAACTATTATAAAGCTATATTATAGGTGTACTATAGCTAATATAATATTATTATCATTTATTAAAATACTACTTCCTCGATATTCAGAAACTATATTATACCGACCGATGCTAAAAATCATTATTAAACTGCTTAAACTGTAGAGTTTAAAATAAAATATATAATAAACCTCTATTACACTATATAATGAAAGCTAAATGAAACGAGTAGCTATATAAGAATTACTGACCAGAAAGATGGAGGTATTTATATTTTTAAATTTTTATGCACTTAGATAAAAACATTCTATGTAAAAATTCAAATCGAGAAAATAATAGGTCAATTCTACAAGGAACTTTTAAACCACTTATGTAGTTAGGTATAATGGTATATACTATCCTACAACAAATAAGACTCACCATTATTGTAAAACCAATTTAAGTAATAGCTTCCATGCTTTCTTGTCCCACTAAGAACCTTAAATATATTCCGTTTGTAAAATAGTTTATTATGAAAGATTTAAGACAAGTTTATTAATAAAATATAAACGCAATTACAATAGTTCATACTAATAATAGAATCAGAATGTGATTAGTTACAATTTTAATTATTGTCAAATTAATATGTATTATATTATTAAATTGTTAAGTTGAGGTACCTACTCGCACACAATAATAGTTATAAGTGGATTTATTCACGTGCTAACTTAGTTTTAGTTACCTACCTAAAAAAAACCCAGTTGCTGATTAAATTTAAAAAAATATTAATGAAAGCCAATAAACATACTTATAAATTTATTGAATATGACATATAAATCACACCCGTGTCCCGAAGATAAGAAGAACGTAATTACTTTGAATTATGATTACGCATGATACAAAATTTAATTTGTTTTGTTTCAGGTATTCCATATGCGTTTAATTTATCTGGTGTCGGATTGGGAGTTATATTATTTGCATTGGTAGCGATTGTCACCGATTACTCATTAGTACTCATGTTAAGGAGTGCACACATAAGCGGCTCTTTTTCATATCAATCATTAATGAAATCTGCCTTTGGCAGATATGGTTTCGTAGTTTTATCCTTTCTACAATTTATTTATCCTTTTATAGGTAAGTATCAAGCAATAAAAAAAAATAATAAATCAATAATATCAATACATAAATAATATTTTACCATTCTTAAAATCTTAAGTCTTAAACTCTTAACACGAGTTTAGGTTTAGCATGTGGATAGTTTCAATTTAGCCGTAACGCCTTTAAGATTATATCTTGGATGGGATTATTATTTTTCAAACTTAAATAGGTAATTTAAAGTATAAAACAAATTATATTTTTCAGAGTGCAACTATAATTATAGGCATATCTCAAAATTCTTATTTTTTATTACATATTGTAGTATTTAAATTACAAAAGCCGTTTGTTGTAAGAATTATAAGAATTACCTAGTTAATTAAATTTTGCATTTTTAAACGAAATTTTATTTTGATATATAATATACTATTTTTTTTAATTTCAAATTCTCATATTTACTTATTGATAAGACGTGTTTGGTGATAATAAAGGTAGAAAAATATACCTACATGAAGATGTAGATTGTAGGTAGTAGGTTATTACAATGAAATACATATAGGTTGCAATAATTCATGTTATTATATATACCGCCGTATTAATATTAAGCTTCATAAGCATTATGAATAATGAGTAATGACAAAAAATGACTATAGATTAATATAAGTTTATGTACTCGAAATATGTTATTAATAACCGTTAACACTCGTAGGGTCTACGTAAGTAGTATACATTTGTATGTTCACAACGTATTTTTAGTTTTCACCGAAGTAATCCACGCCATGTTTTGGGGATAATGCTCCACTCAAAATTTTTTGTTTTACCGTATACATATTATTATTACAGAGAAGTCTTTGATGGGTGATTTTTGGATAAAACAAATAATATTTACCTTGGGTGTTAACTTTAAATTTATTTTTTCATACCAAATTCCGTTATTTTATAACTATAAAAGCCCAAAAAAAATTTTAAAAATTGAAAGTTTACATTTAACTATTTAGTCCCACTCTAAATTCTAACTGTCCAATGGAAATTAAAATTTTAGAATCTGATCGGAGCTAACTTTATAATGTTACATTTTTAAAATGCTTTTTTGTATGTCTTCGTCGCAATTTGGAGCAGTAAAAATGATTCAATATTAAGCTTTTAGAGTTGCATCTGATAACAAAATGGTTCTATAGTTTGTACTTTGGGAAGTCAACAAAAAAAATCCCAAGGAACAAACTAACAAAAAACGGCTAAACCATGAAATATTTACGCAACATTAGTTTTCGACGAAATAAATTTAATTTTGTTCTTTGTTGTTTAAAAAATAAACATCTGTAGGGACTACGGGTGTACAAATGTAACCAAATATTTGTACTGGCATTTTCTTGACATCCTATAACTTTCAAAAAAGGTCATTTTAAGCTATTAATAGACATACAATTTTGAGTTTTAGTCTTTTTGATTTATGTTGATAAAAAATTGTCCCAGATTTAAAATGTTTCAAAATGTTGTACAAGATTACTCATAAGTTTTTAAGATAATTTTTAAAAATATCTAAAAAATTTTTCATAAGCACTCAATATTAAAATTGTGGACAAAAATGGATATTTTCGATTTTTCTTCCAACAAATAGCTATCATTTTGTAATTCAACGAATATAAATTGAAGGGGTTTGAAACATTTCACTATTTAGTAAATTAACTAAACACAATTAAATTTTCCAAAAAGTAATACTAATTGCAGTATGCTTTTTGTACTATAAATATTTTTACTCCGGTCTTCAATAAGTTGGTATTAACTTATAAGTTAATATTAATAATATATAATATTATAATATATTCGATATTTTTGGAAAAAAAGATTTCTTACTACTATATTACTTACCTACTAACAGTATTATTAATTAAATATTATAAAATATTATTTGAAGTCAAATCGACAGACTGTCTCCGCGCAGAATCGTTTTTGGTAATGATGATTTATAACTTAATTTAAATTTAACACATCAATTACTGTGACCTACTCAATGACGAAGTACATTCGAAGCCTATGTTTACTGTTACAGTAATACTGTACATCAGAACGACTTCCTGTTCTTTTTTTTTTTAATTTACATCAATACATTATCATGACAGCATGACGCATGACTCATGAGACTAGGTCGTGCGTACTTTCTTTCGCCGTACCTCACACACACGTTATTGTATTTTTTTAAAATATTTAATGTTTTATGACATTTTTGGAGAAAAAAATCAAAACTTTTTCATGATTCCATTATTATTTTTTATATATTGATGTATTCCCGTTTAACTTTATTTTTTATAGTAATCTTTTTTTCATGTTTTTTTTTTGGTGATACAATATGCTCATTCAGGTACCTAATATTATAGTAGTGAAAATAAAACCAATATTTTAATATCATAAAGATCATTAAAAAATGTTTAGTTAATTGTATTTAGTTATAAAATATACAGTTTTAATATATCAGCATATAGGATTGGCTATTGGGATATTAGCCATCAATACGTGGTTTTAAATCGATATAGAGCCATAAAATCGATAGACCCATACAACATTATTATTTCGCTGTATTGCTTGGATTTATCAATGTTTAACAACTTTGATTAAACCTGTGTAAACATCGTGTTCGAATAATTCTAAAACCTTGTATGGGCGTTGGACATTATGTTTGTACAAATGCTATGAAATTATTCTGCTCAAAAAACACATGAAACGTTTTAAAAATGAACAATAGTTTTTCAGGTCTAATAGATTTTTTCCTTATAATTTAGTAGTTTATATAGTAAAATAAATTTTGACTAAGACTTTATATAGTTTATTATAATATTATGAAAAAATCCACACCTGCCTGCTACACACAAGCAATAAAGCAATAAGTTCAGCGCCACTGGATTTACATTTGTTTTAAATATTTCAACTTTACATTTAGAACATCAACTATACTTTATATTACACATTACAAGTTAATACTTCTATAAGCAAGCTCATAGTAGGAGTAGGGAGACTAATTACAATAATTTAATCAATATCACTAGTAAAGTACCTATATAGATAGACTGGTCTATACTAGTATAATACTAGTAACTAGTATTAATTATAGACCAGTGGCAGTGGGTACTTATGCAGTTACTAGTTACTAGTTCTTAATATTTAGTCTATAACAATATTTTAAAAATAGGTACATAAATATGGTAACATGGGTTAGTTTATAGTATAGCCTTGCAAATTAATTTCTGTTGATTTGAAAAATCGATTGTAGCTCTTTAAATTAAAACAATATTAGAAAATTTAAGTTTTAATAATGATGATAGATATTTTAATTACTATACTAATTAAATATTAACCTACTATTAAGTATCAATTAATAAATATTTATACCAATTTGTAGCCAGATAGATACTAATTAATATTGATTTTATATTTTCATATATATCCACTCCATAGTCCATTCTATCTAAATTGTACATAAATTAAAATTTAATAATATTTTTTTGTTATTCATTTACTTACATTATTAAACTCACTTATATTATAATATAATTTTAACTACAAGTCTGAAAAATATATCTACTGCACTTTATTATTATCAAGTTTGTTACTATAACCAAATTATATTTAATTTTCAATTTATTTAACTACATAACATATTTTTTATCACAAATATTATTATCAATATAAAATACATATTGTGTAATGAATAATGAATAAGTGATGTACATAACCAAATATATGTATGCAATGAGTATCTATCTGTAGGTACTCAATAACATTAGAATTAGGTAACATAATATCAAACGAATTTATTAAAATGTTTGTTACAAATGAATAAAACATGAGATAATAATATAAACTATAATATCCCAAGTAGGTACATCAGTAGTAATAAAAATATATTAATGCGTGTAGTTAAATCATATACGTTACGTCTAAATTAATATGTACCTAGGTACATGCCTACGATTAAAATTGTATTCAAATGTATCTTTTTACAGCGATGATAAGCTATAACATAATTGTCGGGGACACTGCGACAAAGGTCTTGATTAGGTTGTTTTCGCTGCCACACGACTCTGTATTTGCCCAACGGTACTTTGTCATAGCAATGGCCACAATTTTTATCACAACCCCTTTGTGCATGCTAAGGAATGTCGCGAGACTAGCCAAAGCGTCTATTGTGTCTTTCATCATGGTTTTGGTTATTTTCGTGACTATAGTCATCAGATACGAATCTCTACACGACGTCATGTAAGCCTAAATTATATATCAGTACATATGCATGCTTACCTAGCACCTGTACCGATTATTAAATTTCAAAATAATTCCTCCATCCACTTTTTCAATTTCCACAGGTCCACAGTAACTGAAGTCGGTAACATAAACACATGGGATTTTGCTCGGCCTGGTGCGATTCAAGCTATTGGAATAATGTCATTCGGTAATATTTGCTCTTATCTATGTTTTATTTTAAATACTGACTTACATAACACTATTCTACGAAATATTTTCAATAAAATACATACCAATAATACATAATCATAATATATAAAACTACCTATATCAGGGAGATCGAAATTTGATATCTCGGAAATATTCATACCAATTTCATTGTGACAATATATAACTCAAAATTAGTTTATTTAAATATTATAACTATATAAATATATAATATTATAGGATTGATCGATATGCATAATAAAGTGTACATAAACTTAATATATATATGACTAAGCTCTGTAGATAATAGCAAATAAAAAAAGTCTTTAGAATAAATAACAGAATTAATCAATCATACAAAGTATATTCTTGAGTGATAAAAATTAAGCATAAAAAAATTGTTTCTATGTAACCCTTTATTTTATATTTAAATACTCTGATGCAATATTTTATAAAAAAATGAACCAGAAATGTAATTTACCCTAATAATATTATTAATTGACAGATGTGTGTGTTTGAGCTTTCCAATATTTATTACCTATTTTTTATATGTATAATATGATTAACAAACTACTTGCTTAAAATTATTATGATTTGTTTATTGTTACTCATTACTTATTTTCTACTATCTTTTACAATTCGTTGTCATTTGAGATTGTGCGTTTTTCTTATATTCTACGCCATACAAAATAAATAAAATAATAATTATTGTGTATAAATACTAAAGTATACAATATTATGGTTTTTTTCTTTAATCATTAAGGTTTTATGTGCCATCACAACGTGTTTTTGTTGTATGATTCAATCGAAGGAGCAAGTCAGACTATTTGGAACTGTGTAACACACGTCGCGGTCACAATATCGTTGTTGCTAATGGTCGCATTTGGGCTAGTTGGATATGCTACATTTGGTGATCTCACTCAGGGTAAGTTGGTCTCCTTGTTGAAAATGGATAACACTGGATAACGGTATGTTGTACACTAATAAACCTGTAGGTGATTTGTTGGAAAACTATTGTTGGAACGATGATTTAATCAATGTATCAAGGTTGTTGTTCTCATTAACAACGCTGCTCACATTTCCGTTGGAATGTATGGTTACTAAAGCTGTTGTCGATCAGACGCTCAGGGGTGGTACCGATCCCGTTCCAATGTCAAAAAAGAGACACGCTATCATTACGATTTCTATTCTTGTGGCAACCTACTTCGTTTCCATATCCACGAAATGTCTTGGAATAGCCTTAGAAATAAACGTAAGTGTTAAATACTTTTTAGCGTAGCTTATAAGTTGTATAGAACATTTATTGAAAAGTGATTATTTTATTAAAGTAGGCTCTACCCCATTCTCGCTTTGCATGCCAGTACCCACCTCCCACCAGACCACGTGATCTGGGCCTGAGGGTTTCACCCCTTTTGCATCTTGAAATTAAACGTATGTTATTCTTTTATTATAGTGCAATTAAAATGATACGTAATATGTAAATATTGTTTATATAATGGAGAAATATACTTTATCAATTTAAAGTTAATTTTAACATTTACATATATTTTATACACACATTGTTTGTTCGAATATTATATAGTCGACTTAAATAATAATTAACACCCTGCAATGTACACCACTCTGTATTATTTTTGTTTACTCTAAAAATATTGCTCGCTTTTTGACAAGCAGTTTAAATTATATAACCATGGTTAAAACCGACTGTTTTAAAATTACAAAGATACCTATAAATGTATTAATACATCTTTAGCATGGCATTTTTTTTAAATGTAATATACCATTTATACTTTGTAGTAAGTATACTATGTTGATATTTTAACGAAAGGGTTCTTTAAAGACTATTCTAACCTAAGTAAAAAATTTAACTGTAGTTCTGAGCAATTTCAAATATTTTTTGAAAGTACCTCTCCAGGCAAACTCTACAAGCATGAACTGATTGAGGAACAATACAGAAAACCATTTTCAAAGAGTATAAAAATTATAAATGTTTAAATTATATATATATTATTATTTTGTATTAGGGAGTTGTGGCCGCAATTCCACTGGCATTTGTTTTACCAGCAGCAATTTATATTAAAATTTCCAATGATTCATGGAAGCAAAAGGTAATATCCTATCTAACACTATAATATTAATACAGATGTAAATTATTAGATTTGAACATACTAGGTGAAGATTCTAAGATTATGTATGGAACATTTTAATGTCAATTTAAGTATTGCATGCGTATGAGTTACTGTAAATACAAAATACAAAATGTTTTAAATTATAAATTATAATACTACGTTTCGTGTGTTATATTTTTTTATACTTTGATTGAGGTATAACTATTATAGGTGTATTATTTAAAAATAAATGTTACTAAATAATAAACATTAACCGTATATATTTTAATTAATGCAATTAAAAAAATATGTTTGATTAGTTTAGTTTAAATACAATTTCAACAGTCACCTATACTAAAAAAATTCTTCTTCGTTTTATAAGAAATGTGATATCTAATCTATAAATTATAATTAAACACGATAAATGTTGAGAAATAATCTTTCCCTTATAATCTTCGAAGTTTAAGGTACTCTAAAATATTTTAACAACATAATTGTAATATCCAAATTCCAAGGTTTATTTAAAGAGTCTGAAATGTTTGAATTATTATTTTAGTAAGCTGATAATATATTTATAATTTATAAATGATTTAAATTTAGAATATTTTTTGCAATACATAACCAAAATTAATAATATTTTAATGTATTTACTATTTTTATTTACTTTAGATCCCTGCATATTGCTTGGCCCTGTTTGGTACAATAGTAGCTGCATCTGGAATATCATTAGTCGTATACGAGATTTTAACTTTTACTGCGGATTCTTGCGAGAATGACAAGATAATGGATCACTGTTACATTAACGACACTTACCTTCCAACTGGTGACATTATCCAGTTACCATTGAACTAAATTGATTTTAATACGAATATTTTTTAAATTATAACATTTATGGTTACGTTCTAGTCTCTAAAAAATATATTTTTTTTAATTCAGAAAGATTCTTACTTATTCAATCATATATATCATATATGTATATATATAGGTATACTAAACTATCAAAGTACCTATGTAATATTATTTCATTAGTTATTACTTATTACCTATACCTATTTGTGTTGATTTATCTCATTAATGAAAATAACGATAAGCCTAAGTTTTCATTTTGACGTAGGTTCCTATCAAAAAAAGTTATTTTTTCTCGTTTCTCCACGAATTTTTTAAATCATAGATTTTTTGTAAATGATATTTTTTTTAATAATTTGTTAACTAGTGCAATATTTTTTAATCTTCTTAAGCCTTAATATTGTATCTAGTGTTAGAAAAAATAATTTATACAGAACAAAAATCTAATATAAATAACATGGTATAGTCTTGTTGTCAGACCCAACAAGGTTACTAATAGTTTATACGACAACTGGAGTTTATATTAAAATTTAAAGTGGTTGATTCCGGTACCTAATAACGATTGTTGTCACTTGTCAACCAATTACTAACACTTTTAAGGTTATATTTGAGTTCAATGATTAATTGGTTATCTGCAGATACAACCGTACAAGTGTTGAACTATATGTCTATAAAACTTACTTAAACTTTAAAACTTGTACGATATTCAAGATCTTACACCCAAATATAAGATTTATTAAAATAACTCAATAAGTAGGTAACTAAAAATTAAAAAATCAATATAACCGTAGGTATAAACTATTCAGATATAAGACCTTGATAATGTACTAATGTCCTTCGAAAAACACTTCACTGATATCTTATAAATCGACAAAGTCACATAGATACTTCATACTTATACACATATATTATGTATCATGATAAAATATACTACTATTTGAGAGTTTATAGTCTTAAAATATATATCACGGAAGGTATCTACTACCAAGGTATATATATTATATACTTCTCTTGAATTTATGATACATTAGTATTTTTATTTTTTATTAACTTAAAACCCAATTTTATTAAATATTTAAAAGACATTGTATTCAAAAAGTAACTTTTAAGTAGTTTTGCCCCCGGATCTGAATACATTATTTGTTAAATGAAATATTATTTCAATTAAATTTAATAGGGATACCTGTTTAAGCTGTATGATTAATTACCTATTATAGGCTATAGATTATTATGCAAAATAATTTCAATTTCAAATGTCACAAAAAATATCTTATAAAAATTAGTAGTTCTTTAAACAATTATTAAAACTTTTTAATATTGTTTACGCTTGTATAACTTTTAAAATATCTTAACTTAGATATTTTGTAGATTAAAGTAAAATTATGCAAATTAGAGTTATGAAAACTATTTTCATTAATATTATATTAATAAAATATATAAGATAATACTTAGCTGATATCGGTATTTAAAGGCTTCCTAAATTCTAAGCCAAATTACATTTTGTAAATTCAGTTTTAAATTAATTTTTTTTAAATAGGGCATTTTGCTTTATATTCAATAATTAGTAAAACTTTGGGTACCGAATACTAAAATTATATTGTCATAAATGTGAACTATATTCATACATTTGAATGCAAGTTCATTCACTTGTCACATTGACATTTTAAAATATTAAATTATATTTATTTATTAAATGTTAAATCGTAACAAACAATAAGTGCTCCAAGCTTTTGTATAATATTTTCCTGAATTAATTAATACTTGTAGTTGAAATAATTATAAATTAATCAACCGTTTACAGAAATTAAATGTTGCTTAGGGTTTTAATATAAACCTGAACATTATATAATATATTTCAATTGTATTATTCCTTGGCTATTCATTATGTCTTAAAAACTAATTGATTTTGCTTATTGTGCTATGAGTTTAATAATCATGTATGGAAACTTATTACGTCATTGTTTTATTTAATTAAAAATAATATTTTTCCTATAATATTTTCAATATTATACTGTGGTAGATATTATCATGAATCTTTAATGATATAATATTTGTTTAAGTAAGTTATATCGTATGAATAATATGATAAGCTACGAAACGTTATGAATCATTTAGGTTAATTTATTATTTGTTTATTTAACGGACTATTGTAACCAAATTGTAAATAATAAATAATTAAATACATAGTTGATAACAAGTTATTAGAAACAGTATATTATATATTGTATAATATCTAGTTTAAAAATCAAACATTGAGTATATGAGGATTAAAAGATCATTGTCCAAAGGCTGAGTCTTGTCATTTCCTAGCCTAGTGGATAATATTATGAATGTAACCTGTGGTGACTGGAGACAACAGGTATACCTACACTCTACAGTAATTACGACATAATAAATGGAAAAATAGTATTCATTTTTTTTATGAGTGATCGTTAACATAAATTACAAAGGCTACTGCTGGTGAGTCATATTATACCTACTATACCTACACAATATACATATTTAAACATATTTTAAAACATTCATAGTCTTTTCATTAGTCTTCCAAATATTTTCGTTACACATTTTTTTTTAAATCAATCTTACCTTTTAAAGTTATAACCAGGTTATTCACTCTGCCAAAAAAATATGAATTTTATTTTAAATAATTGTTTGATAGTTGAGATTTGTGGGTTTGATAAACCAATGGTATGATGGTTTGGTTCAAGTTTTACGGTACGTGCGTTAAATCTAGTGCATTTTAAGTTTTCCGTCATTATGTGTTTGACTGTAATTATGATTTCACAAAATTTCAAATTTGATCGTATTCAATCTATATAGGTAGGCGTAGGTAGTGTAATGTATATTATACAAGTATAAGTACTCTGTGTAAATTGTTCACACGAATATTCAAGAAATATCAAATAGTGATAAAACTGGCTCGCGTAAGTAACCTATACTATATTATGTACCGAAGTAATTTAATATTCAATTTAATTTTTAGAATAACGTATTATTTTAAAATAGTACAGGAAGGTATTTATTATTGGTAGGTACACTGTAGTATTTATTGTGATATAGGTATACTTAATAGATATAGGGTATACTTAATACAAATACAAAATACGTCGATATTCAATGAAAATTATGAATATGAATTCATAATAACACATTAAATATTAAACTTATAAGCACCTGTATCTAATCTTTATGTATGTAATGTACCTATAATATTTTATGTACCTTCAAGAATGTGTAAATCAATAAATAAGTTCAATGTTCGATAGATTACATTAAACGTACGTAAGTATGGTATGTGAATATAAATAGCCATTAAGGACTGTGTTTTTTAATAAACTCTATAATATGAAGACGTATAATTTAATAACCTGTAGACATTGAATAGTCAACTAAAATTTGCAATCAAATGTGTTGTTTGAACTCTTTAAGTTCGACAAACGTCTTTAAACAATTGTAATTTCGAATCCAATCGTTTATTCCCATCTAAGCTTTTAAGCAATATATGATTGCAATCAAAATTCTAAGGCCAAATTTCTCTTTGAAATATAATTCAGCTGTGGCATTAGGTTAGGTCAAAAATGTTTTACCTGAAAGGGGCTGGAGCGTGATGTGTTTTAAGGTGTAATATTTAGGCATTTCATATAGCAATTATTATATTTGAGAAGTATTTCTGTGTTCGAATGAAAATTTAATCTTTCTATAGTTCTATACAATAGTATAATGTTACATAAATGTAAATAGCCTACAAATCTTTTTTCTACCAACTATTTGACACGTCAATTCATTTATCATATCGAAAAATGATCGTTTTTAAATACTTATAGGTACCTATAGGCTTTTACAATGTTAATGACGGAAATATGAAGTACCTATGTATATATTTACAATTTCACAAGTAAAAGCATTACTAATTGACAAAGTGACAACTACAACTTCAGTCTGTACAACTACAGTTCGGTATGTTTCTTTTCGACAAAAATATTTTTCTTCTAAAATACGGTTCGGAAGAAATATTTTTCTACTAAAATACGGTTCGGATAAAATATTTTTCTTTGTAAATATTTTCGTATAGTATATTTTTCGGATAAAATACGTTTCGTAAAAAATATTTTCTGTCTTTTTATTTTCGACGACAATATTTTTCAGCTAAAAGCCTAAAATACTGTTCTGACGTTTTATTTTCGGATATTATACGCGTGATATACGCTATAGCTCTATCCAGTGTATATGATCTAAGTTTATTAGTTATTACCGTATGATATTAAGCACAAATGGCCTATCCCACGATTTAAGATATTTATATATATACAATTCTTATCAAACAATAGTTAACGACACTTCTAGTCGTTACTCGTTGCGCAACCAGTATATCTTTAATAATGGTCCCAGAAAATCTTCTGAGGCCGTGTCTTTAATCGTGCCTAGTACTAACTACATATCTTCTGAGTTCTGTTCTGACCCTCTCAATTCCCACTTATTGATACTCTAGACTTATAAAAAAAACACTTTACAAAGCCTCTCCAATGTTAAGAGGATCATAGGATCAAAGCAACTTATAACTTAACTATAGTTTAATATTATATATTTTAAATTAAAAGTCTTAAGTTGAATAAACACTTCAAATTCGCAAATACCTTATAGGTATTTTTATTAGAATATTTTGTTCACTAACTTGTTTCTAATTCAGTTAACATGACAATAATATATTAATATGTCAGTCAATCGTTTTTTATGCAAATTTGATCATTTTTAACCATATTTCTTGCAGATGGCTGATAAGTAGTAATATACAATTAAGGTTGAATCTAACTGTTGTGTAGTAAATATTTAATTATTATTTCATATTTGTCACTCATTTGAATAAAATTATAGAAACACCGAGGACGAGTTTCATTGTTCAAATGGACTGTGTATCAAATTGTTGCAGGTTTGTGATGGCCATAAGGATTGTTCAGATGGTTCAGACGAGACAAAAGCGTTATGTGCTCTATTGCCTCTGCACGATTATGGAACAAATATGACCATAGGTACCAAATAATAGTTATATATGACAATTAATTATTAATATTATTTATATGTTTGTGTGATAACTAATATATTTTAGAGTTATGCGTTGTTACTCATTTTAATCTAAATATGGAGCTTCTAATATTGTTTTAGGTTGTGGTAGAGCATATGTTGAAAAAAACGTATAGTTTCCCAATGTCAAAAAAAATAATGTAGGAATGGCACCTTGGTATGTTGCAATATATAAAAATTAATGGATTCCAATTATGAATTGATATGTGGAGGATCAATTATTGCTCCAAATGTAATAATTTCAGGTAAAATCTTTCTTTAATGTATTTAAAAAAAATGAAACTTAAATAAATATCATTTTAAGCTGCTTATTGTGTTAAGAAAAATGTTGATATGTGTCATCTGAGTTAATATCAGTAAATAATGGCCTATACAGAATTGCTGTTGGAAAATATACTAAAGATATTAAAGTAATAGACAGTGAATTTACTAAAATAATAAATGTAAGTTATTAATGATTCATTTAATATATTAATTTATAATATATTTATTATTATTATTTTATATATTTATTTTATATTTTCATTTAATGATATATTATAATTTAAAATAATTTTTGAGGTAGAAATGATTTACCTGAATGAACATCATACACCTCTTACTTTGTCGTATGCTGAACGTATAGCTATAATTGTATTACAAAACCTAGTTTCTTTTAATGATGTTGTAGGCTTGTAGCACCTGTTTGTATCGATTGGAATGGTGAATACAATGTTGTCAAGAGAGATCAAGGGAAGGTTGGTTTGTAGTATTATTTCAATAATTTAATTGGGATTTAGTTATAGTTAATTATTGTATTCATTACTATCGAACATTATCCATCTGTAGGTAAAGAGTATTAAAAATTGAAAATTTCTCTTTTATAGAAAACGACAAGAAAAATATAAAGTGAAATTTCAAACACCCATATAATGAATGTATTTAACTTCAAGGAAATTTTTTTTAGGTAGGAGAACTTATGGAGAACTTTGTAAGAAATAATAAAATTAGAAAATGTCGAAATTGTCTTATACTTATTAATAGCTCAAAAAGATACAATATAAAGGAAATGGTAACATAAAAATCCAGTGAAAATTTAAAGTATCTA